CTTAAAGACGTGTAACTTCGAACCAAGTGAACTATGTGCCAATCGGCTCTTGCAAATGAATGCCTTGGAGGAGTTGAGAAATAAGTCATACACAAAATCATTGATCTACAATGATAAGACAAAAAAGTGGCATGATACATGGTTGGAAGGAAACAAAGAATTGGAAGTCGGTCAAAAAGTTCCCTTTTATAACTCAAGGTTGAAACTTTTCCCTGGAAAGTTGCGCACACGATGGTCTGGGCCATTCAAAATCAACCAAATGTGTCCTTATGGAGTAATTGAGATTTGGTACAAAGATGGGTCAATTTTTAAGGTCAATGGGCACCGAGTCAAGCATTATGAAGAAGGGATGCCTAATGAAGAGAGGATTGAAAAGGGCATGGATTTAGAGGAAACCACTACAACGTAGAGCGGGAAGGAGTCCAACTCAATTGTTCTTATTATGGAGTCTTCTTACGGTGGGTGTCTTTTGAAACATTTGATATTTTTTAGCGAAGTTTTTGGCAGAGAGAGGGGAGAAAGATAGAAAGGGGTTTCCCATTTGTGGTGGCATGTTGGTAACTAAATTGGCTCGATCGTATAAATTATTTGAGAGAGGGGCCGGAAGTTTTTTGACTGTGATGCACACACGTCCCTTTAGCCCCCTTCTCTTCAAAAGGCTCGGAACTTTGAGGACAACGGAGAAGGCAATTTTTCTATCCTCGATCATGATGAGGTGTTGGTGTCGGAGCACACGGGAAGAAGAGTTAGGCCACGACCCGCGGAAGTTCGTGAGGAACCGCCGGTCATTCCCGTTTAGACCCATACAACTTGACTATGATGCAGTTTCAAAATAATTTGGCCCGTGGTGTGGATCATACAAACATGACTTTGGAGTTCATGATGCACCAAATGAATATTCATCGGCCCGATACTCATCCCTGTTATCCATATATCTCGAGTTGGGAAGATCTTTTGGAGGGAAAGACAAGAAGGAGTCGGCGGGAGTGGAGTTGGGGGAGAAGACGAATATTAGCTATCCTTTTTTTATTTGTGTGTGAAGTGTTGAAGACAATTTTATTTTATTTGTTTCATTTTGTTTGGTTGTTTTAAAACTTATAGTAATTATGGATAATATAGGAAATTTAAATTAATGTTTGTTTTCCTTTTATTATGTAGTTTTTGTTTTGATATTTGCAGAAGTTAGGTTGAGAATAGAACGAGTATTTAAAGTGAGAGAGGAACAAGTGAGGGGGTCTAGTCATTAACAAGAGATTAGAAGACTTGAGGCGACATTTTTTAGTCCGGAGATTATGATTGCTAAAGGGAGTCACGTTACAGAAGAAATAAAGAGGTGTATTGAATTAATACCCTCTTTGACCAAGAAATCAGTGCTAAGCAGAAAAGAATAAAAATCACGATCTGAACCTTAAACACGTTCTGGTCATACCACAACACGGCATGTTCTAGAAGAAAAACATGATTTCTTTATGAGTTAAAGTTTAGCACGACGTGTTTCCCACTACAACGCGGCATGTTGCTACCCCAGTCAATTTTCTTGAGTCATTGATTTGATCCTATCCAAGGTAGGCATTATCCACATTTATGAAGTCCATTTCTAGACATTCCAAGAAGCTATTTCCGGTTGTGTTACAAGCTGTCAACCACATGAGATGTATGACACCCAAGGCATGGTTAATCTGTTCTCATGCTAATGTCAGCTGAAGAAAGAGCTAAAAAGAAGAATTATCAACCTCGCTACTACTATCCCAGAGGAGTCCGTTCATTTTCTCTCTATTTACTTGTTATTTTATTTTGTATAACATGTGATGGGGACATTGCATAAAATAAGTGTGGGGTAGGGGTTGGTTACATTAGTTACATTAGAATCCTAGATATAATTATGAAAAATTTGAACATAAAAAAATTGTTAGGTTAATTTAGAAAATTATGATAAAGCAATTAGGATTCCATTTTATTATTCTGATTGATGATTCTTTGAGGACCTAAATGTTTAATTGAGCCAATATACATTATAATGCTTTTGTGGCCTCCTTTATTCTAGTGAAATTATGGAACAAAAACATAAACATGCTTAGTTTGAGGGACGCAACATGTTTAGAATCGTATACTTCAAATGTATCCAGGAAAGCTTAAGTACTCATTGCACACTAAGACTAATGCCTTTTATCAATAAAAGTTGAAGTTAAAACCCCTTGCGTAAGCATATGTTTTTCTAGGTTTAGAGTTGAGTGAAAAAAGTATGTTTGAAAAAAAAAGTGCTAAAATGTTTGAAAGAATCTACTAGTATGAAGATATGAAGAAGAGCAACAAAGTATCAAGGATTTAAAGAAAAAGTTGTATTTTTATTTTATTTGTAATTTTCTTTTCTAGGTTATTGTTCCATATGTATGCTTGGGGGTTTAACCAAATATAAATTGAGGTTAAGAAAGTTTTCTGCAAATGGATTCGGAGGGATGCATAAAATGAGCATTGTTCAAAAAAAGTGGGCGAGTGTTTATGAAGATTGTGAGTATTTAGGGTTAGGAGTCCTTAGGAAAATTAGACATAAATGCATGTGTTGCAGTCTTGGGATAATGGATGGGTTCAAATAGGATTGTCTTATGTGGTATTAGTGTGCTAAAATTCAGTTTTGCTCAGGGGAAAGCAAAAATCAAATGTGGGGTATTGTGATATGGGTATCTTTTTTTTTCTCAAATATTTTACATAAGGTACTTAATTAGTTTAAAATTTCATTTTCAGCAACAAAGACATGCTCAGAAGGAAAAGGAAGTGGAATTGGCGATCGAAAGCTTGGATCTTGGATTTTGAAGAAAGAATATGAAAATGTAGAAGAACACGGTGTGTTACCCTCATTAACACGATTGTTGTATTAAAAAATCCCAATAAAATAGTCCCTTGTCGTACACACATTTTTAATGTTCAGCACGGCATGTTGAGTCTGTTAACACGACGTGTTGCACCTATTTTCAGAATCTATTTAAGGATCGTTTCTATTCAAAACCCTAATGAATGCTAGGAGTTTTTATCGACTTTTAGAGGCCAGAGACATCCCAAGGAGCTGTGGATTTTAGAATTCGACAAGAGGCTTTGCATTGAAGAGATCTAAGGCAAAAAAATCATTAGTAACTTACTTAATTCCTTTGTTTACATTATGGTTGCGTTCATGAATTTCGTTTTTATGCTTGTTCCCGCTAAAGTCATGGGCTAAACACCCTACTTTCGTATAGAGTATAGGATCTTATGATTATGGTTTGATTTAGTGGCTTTGGATTATATTGATTTGATTATTGATCATTTTAAGCTTGTTAAAAGAACCTTATGTGTTAATGACAATTATTTTCAATTGATTAATGAGCTATTGAGATTGCATGAACATCTTTCCTGATTGCTAACCTCTTATGATTTTGTGAAAACAAGATTATAAGCCTAGTGTTGTGAGCATAACCTATGGTTAACTAGAAAATAAGTAAGTTAATGTGTAAGCTATATGGAATTACCAACCATATATAAGTTAATTGAACCAACCAATTTAATTAACTACTATTACAAGTCTTGTTTAATTCAAATTGAATACTAGTAAACTCTTTAATTTAATCACTTGATCACTGCTTGAATTGATTTATTTGCATAAGGATTAGTAATAGTGAACATGAACCTAATCACATTAGCAATCGATAATTAATGATATATAAATCCATTGCACTTGCCACAAAATCAACCATATGAATAAGTGAATTGAATCTAAAAGGAAGTCTCTTTAATATTATTGAATCTAGTTATCTTTTGTTCTTCTTTCTAGTCGTTAATTGTTCTTGCTAAGTGTTTAAGTAATTGCTTAAGTTTTCAGTCTTGTAAAACTAGAGAAAAACCCCTCATCATTTCATTATTTAAATTAGATAATATTAGTAGTAACTTTAATTGTTTACCGTTCCTTGTGTTTGATACCCTGATTACCTTCACTAAACTGGTAATCGATAGGTATGCTGCCTTCCGTGTGTTTTTTTTTTTGTGTTTAAGTTAGTTAGGATTAAAACTAGTACCTTCCACACATGTCAGAAAGCATTAAAATTTTGAGCCCTTCTTCATATGAGTATTTGATGTCAAAGGAACCAAAGACATGGTGTAGAGCCTTTTTCAGATTAGGCTATATATGTGAAGCAGTTAAGAATGTGATCTCAGAGTGCTTCAACTCAATAATACTAGATGCTAGAAAAAACCGTTGATCACCAGCTTGAAGAGATACATATTTATATCATGGATAGGTTTGCTCACATGAATGAGGAAAGTGAAAATAGGAATTCTAATGTTTGTCCATCAATTTTAAGGAAACCGAATCTCTTTGGAAAAAATAACAGGTACCATTTCATGCTTTCTAACACTTGTCTTAATCATTATAACGATTGTTACTAACTAAATAATTGATATGTGTTTGAGGCAGAATAGGGTATGATAGTTACAGGGTGGACTTAGATGTTACCACTTATTCCTATAGGCTATAGGGTTTGTCTGGTATCCCTTGTGTGCATGCTAATGCAAAAATGAGTTATATCCATCAAACACTTGATGGATACATCAATGTATAGTTCTCTAAATAAAAATTTAGACATTGCTACTCAAAAAACATAAAACCTATTAATGGCAACAATTTGTGGGCCCAGTCTGGATACATTACACCCTTGTTTCCAATATCTAGATGAATGGCTTGTATAGTTGCTACCATTAGAAGGAGGCATTCCGGTGAGAAAGATAGCATGCTTTCAACACCAGTGAAGGTTCCAAGAACTACTCGATGTGGAAATAGTTTGGAATATAGTCATAACATGAGGGCATGTAAGAATGAGAGAAAAGAATAAGTGCCTCCCCCACCAAAAAAGACAGGAAGGCCAAGAAAAAATATTGTTCCCCTTTCAACTGCATATGTACTGAACCAACCACCAATTAATATAGGCCCTACTCAACCAAATGCATCAAGTCAACCTTCATGCTCTAACAAACAGATGAGGAGTCCAAGAAAACATTCCATTCCCACAGCAACTTATAATGTTCCCAAGCAGCAACCAGGTTCTAAAATAGTGAGGAGGAGTAGTATTGATGTAGGTAAGAACAATTTGTGCACAAGGAGAGGTTGTGGGAGGATTGGTAAAGCAAAACATGGGATTGATACTCTAATTGTAGGTGCTCAAGAAAGTGTGAATGATAATCCTATTGAAACTACTAATCAAGAAGTTGTAGTTGCTGATGAGGGTGAAAATGTGATGCATGAAGATGATATTAATGTAGAAGTTCCTAATATGGGTGATATGCAAGAAGGTGTGGTGTAGGATGATCATATGAAGCATGAAGGTGTTACTGTGGATGATAATGTCATGAAAGAATGTGCTAATGGTGTAGAAGAAGATGTGGTGTAGGATAACAATATGATAAATACATGTGTCACTACTACTCAAACAAGTGTGATGCAAGGTAGTGATACTTTTGGGCAACTAGGATCGAGTATTGTTAGGGAGCCAAACTCAATTCATGTTGAAATTGAACAAGCTATTGATGAAATTTTCAAGTGGTTAACTTCCAAAACAAAAACAAAACACAGTCAAATCCAACTAATGGTGAAAATGTGGTGGAATATGATGATGTAACTGAGTTTACTGAGGGCAGAGAGGAGGATATTCTCCTAAAGAAGATACAATTGTGCCTTGTAGACATTGTAGATTTGTTAAAATATCGTTATAGGAGTGCAAAAAATGGAAGCTATACCAGGGGTAAAATTGGAATCAGATGATTCCCATCAGTTGAACTGGTAAGATCTCTTTCCTTTTTTAGTTAACAATTGTTTTGTTCTTGCTTTTAAGATCTAATTGTATTTTTTAAACTACGATGTGAATGATTTCGTTTATGATCACCAATCTGATGATGATATTGATTGGGATGGTGTTGGAGATGTTGATGTGTTGGATTAGATGTCTAAGCCCATAACTATTGTTGGTATGTACTCGACACGAGAGTAGCATGGTCCATTTGGGTTGCATATCATCAGGACAATTTGTTAGGGTTGAATCTTGAGAGAATGTTATATTAGATTTATTAATATGTTATAAGTTTTAATATATTAATATGAAATCATATGTTTTAATTATTATTGATCAATAATTAATTTGGAATTAATTTAGTGATCAAAAGAGACTAATTAAATCTATGGGGACTAATTATGGAAATTAGTTATATGTATATGTGTTTGGCTTATGATCCATGTTGGACCAAGTTTATGTATGGATACATAAAGAGTTGGGCCACTTGAACCATGTATCATAACACCCATGGGTATGGGTTTGGGTTAACCCATGACCTTTGGAATTCCACATATAAATATGTTACTTCATAGCCAAAATTACCACTAATGTATTCCCATAGGATATGGACAGTTTTGGTGTGTATGCATTCTCTCTCAAGTTTTATTCTTTGTCCATGATGTGTTGTGACTTCATTTGATGCTTCCACGCTATTGGGGCTAATCTCTTAAGGCTAAATACATCAAGACTTCAAGCTACATAAAAGGTATGTTACCCTAACTAGTATCTTATATGGTTTATCTCAAATTCATGCTAGTTATAGGTTTAATGCCTTGGAAACCATTTGCATGTATAATTTGCGAAAACATATATACAAGGTATTTAGGGTTGTATGTGCACCATAGGATGTTGTAGTATACAAAACCCATCAGTGGTATCAGAGCCTAGGCTTGGTTTTCAATTATACTTGATGCAATTACTAAAAAAATCAATTTTCTGTTTTTCTGGGTTGGGGACTCACTGAGTCCACTGATGGACTTGCCGAGTCCATGTACAAATTCAACCAACTCGCCAAGTTGGTTCCTGCACTTGATGAGTCTAAGCCCCTGAGTGCAGATTTTCATTGTTTTTGGCTGGAATTGGACTAGAATCAAAAGTTTCATGTTTTGTATTAGTTTAATGGTTAGGTTAATTGCATGAAAATTGGTTGATTTGAATTGTCTTGTTTATATGAGTTTAATCTAGATCATAGTTTTTTCATGACATGTTTGTTTGTTTATTAGATGATCTAAATGGCCTTTAATGGATTCCATAACTTGTCCTCAAGTTATGGAAAACCAAAAGTCTTTCTTGTTAATGAGTCTTTAAATGTCATGACTTATGTATTTGAAGAGTTTTTCCCATAAATTGTTTTATGACATCCATAACTTGTCCTCCAGTTATGGATTTTCAAGAGTCTTGCCATTAAAAGTATTATTAAACTCATATGTTATGGATTCCAAAAGTTTTTTGAATTGTTCAAAACTTGCCCTCAAGTTTTGGAATTTGTAAAGTTACCCCCCCCCCCCATGTATACTTTAATTCAGAGAACAGAAAACATACTTTTAAACATAAATACTTATGAACTCACTCAACTTTATATTGATACTCTCTTTTTAAATTACTTGTATTCTCAGGGAAATAGTAAGCAGTTACTCCCCGAGCTTTTGAGAAGATGGAGCTGTTTTGAGTCATATTTTCTGTCTTTTGCTATAACTATTTTGGTGTCAATATACAGTGATTAAACACATGTAAATAGTTATACTTTTTAAATTCAATGGTTGTTTGTACTTTGATTACTATGATGCATGTGTTGTGATACTACAAATGATGTCCTCCACCCGCGGATGCTTCTACCGTCTGGTTTGGGGGTGTGACAGGTATGTATGAAAAATATGGTGGTGGTTCTCCTTTTGCAAATCCAGTCACTTTGGAGTAGTTTAGAAAAATGGGGAACGGGGTGTAGTGGGTATGGTATATGTTGCCACTCTGTAACTTTGTTTTTTGTCATTTTGGTACAGTTACATTGGTACACCCACTGATTGAAACATACATCCAATTGTTCTTTTGTTCCCAATTAGGTTGCCTTTTTGTGCATTGTCCAGGCATGTTGATATAAATGAATGGCTGCTACATATTTGTATAATGTAATTAAACTCTATATGTATTAGATACACCGCATTCTATGTTATGTTTAGGCATTTTGTTATATATTGGTTGTTATGTTCAATCTTTTAGTTATTGAAATAGTTACCAACTATTAACATTTACCAATTATATGTGCAACATACCATTTAGTGCAGTGTACTTATAAAACAAACCAATATGTACCATTTTACGCAAATAGTTACCAACTACAATTTAATGTAATTTACTGACATAGCATTTTCGCAATGTACATTGCATACCATATTATTTAATGTACTTTACGAATATATACATGGGAACCTATATAGTGGTTACATATATATCATTTTAAATGTACTTGTATAACCATCCAAACATTGCAATTAACATCCAAAACATTACAAATTATCATCTTAACATTACAAATACCATCCCAAACTATCATATTTCATCAAAAGCTACACAGATTTGAAGATCAAATAAAAAGCCAGTGATATAACATCCAAATACCGTTAAATCTTATACACCACTAAAACAAACATGGACAATATAGATACCAAAAAAACAACAACCATCTGCATTAATGTCGTTATCTTTCATTGCTCTGTAAACTAAATTGACTCTACCATCATATGTAGTTTTTGAACCCCTTTATCGTCAACCCATTTGAAAAACCCACACCCTCCTTCTACCTACATAATTAGGTCAGCGCATAATACCATTAATGCAATCCCACTAGAAAAACATTGGATGATGAAATAAATAAAAGGGAAAAATTATTGTTACCTTATAATTAGGGCACCCGCAAAATATCTTGCATGGATTATCTGGTGTGTGTGAAACGAACACAGGGAAAACATCCTCACACCTACACTTCACTTTGACCTTCTTCTTGTATCATGAATTCACATTCAAGCTTGATTACAGAAGATGTCGGGATTCTGCGTGGGAGCCAATTGTAGGTGCAAGAGGAAGAATGAACCGATTATAAACAGGGGGAATGTTTATGTTGACTGCCAGCTAATAGTCAACATGGGCCATACGCAAAGTCATATGAAAGGTAACTGTGCCAAATGAGAGATTTGAACAATTTAATGAAAGTATCCGACTTTATTAACCCAAATACTTCTCCAAGGATAAAACCGACAATTCTTGGAAAACTTAACGACTTTTATGTCATTATCCCTAATTTTAATTGAGTAGATGAATTTCTTAACTTGGGGTTTTATGAAAATGGTTTATTACCTTAATTAAAAATGAAATATTTGTATGTGAAATGGAACGTTAAATAAATGATTAGGATTGTTTGCTAAGTGGTATTTATTTCTCACTTTTATGTTTTATCGTATAACAAATGATTGACCCATTCGGGGTTTGTATGCTTTATATGCAACCTTTATGAACTCACTTAGCAAGGGCTGACAATTTTGTCTTTTCTCTTTTGTGCATTATGATTGGTGCAGACACGTAGGAGTTTGGCCTTGGGTTACTTATGGGGTAGTTATGCTAATTAGATGATGCCATTGGCAAGTTTGATGTTTCATCAAATTGATCATTTACATTTCTTATGTTTTAAATGGTTTGGAATTATAATTTTGATTTTGAAGTAACGTGGTGATTTGAAAATGTTTCAAAATAAATCACTAGGTCTTCTGTTAATGTATTCTGTTAAAAAGTGTTTTAAAAATAAAAAAATAGGTAAAAATAATGACGTTACACTGTGGTGGTATTAGCGGTACTGTCAACCTTCTACCCCACTATGAGCACCACTTCGTCCACCCTCATATCATAGGAAACAAACGCTCGTTATGGGTCAAATTTATTTTGAAAAAATTATGTTTAACACACACTTAGCTTCAATTTATTCTGTTCTTCCATTTTCTGTTATCTTGCATATATGTATCAATATACAAGCATTTAGCTTTTGTTATAAACACATACTTTGGATGTGTTCAACACGGAGCGTTTGGGAGCATTTGAGAGCATCTAGCTTCTATCATTTTACAAAATGCTCCATTTTGAACAAAAAGCCTCATTTGACACTACAAGCTTCTAGTATTTAGTTTAAACAAAACGCTCTAAATTCAAATGCTACTTTACGTAGTGTTTAACAAAACGCTATCAGCTAGAAATTACCTGCTACCCGCTAACAATTATTTTTGCCGAACACACCTTTTATTGATAATAAAGAAGAAGGGTATTAAGGGTTGTTTGAGAGTGATTATTTGAAGTGTTTATTAACTAATTCCGGATTAACACCAGTAACAAGGAGTTTTAAGTGTTTGGATAAGAAGAATTCATAAGCATTTATTAACTTAAACAATGAGTTTTTGATAAATTATTTTCTCCTTACTTATTAACTTATTTAA